AACTCCTACTCCTCTCAAAGGACACAGCTCACTGAGGGATGAAGGTGATGTGGTTTTTCCCAGAGGAAGGAATCACACAGTTGATCCACTCAAGGCAGAGGGCCCTGGGCATCCCCACGTGAGGCAGAGAGCTCTGGACATCCCCACACAAAACAGAGGCCCCTATGCACATCCTCACCCATGTGCCAGATGCTGCCTCTGGGCTAAGCTGTCTTTATGGGTCAGGATATTGTTATTGAGGTACCTCAATGTCGAGCTGTGCCCTTCCAGCAGAGCTAAAGTTTGCCTGGAGAGTTGCAGTCTCTCCTGGGTGGGACAGACTCTTTCCTCTTCCCCCTCTTCCAGAGGAACTTTGGGGTTGTTCAGACACAAAAATCAGGATCTGGCTGTAATATACTGCAAGAACAGATTCCAGATGTTGTCCCTACAGCCTTCCCATGAACCAGGACCTGGGTTTCTGGAGAACCAGGCAGACAGGCTTCTCTGGGTAGCTTCAATCCCATCAAAATAACCTGTTCCAATGCCATGCTGCTTCCCAGGCTCCACAGTATTAAACTCTCAGGCACCACATCCAACGACAGCACAGAAACCTGTCCAGAATGGGTCTGCCACGCTGGAGGACAGGCAGTTCCCTAAGGGACAGGCCAGTTCCCACACACAGAGCTGCAGGGACCTGCAGGGACGATGATGATGGTGGGACCTTCCCTGGGTAACCCTCATACAATTAAGTTCTTGGAGAAAAGCCCACCCAGTCCCTACACATTCCTTTACCATGTTATCCTTCAGGATAAAGTGCTCGCGGTGCCTAGGGAGGCTGACTGCTGACAGGCACATCCCAGACACTCTGCAGAGCTTCCCACAGGACAGAAATCAAGTGCAAAACCACATATACAACATTTGCATGAGAACTCAGAGCTCCTCCAGCTTCAAAGGACAATTTCCACCATGACAGTACTCAGATATTAATGAGAAAAGCCTCAACCTGACATTTCTGCAATTCCATTTGATATTTAATTGGGAGAGCAGATCAAAGAACAGGGGAAATAAATGAGTTTGCATTACCACACACACGACAGAGTTCAGTGAGCAGGAGAGATTAAAAAAACCACAGAAAGAAACTGCTGTAAAGCAGCTGTTCTTGCAGTCACAACTTCTGGCATCCCTTGTGGCCTTGAGTGTGTGGCCCAAGCGAGGCTTCTCTGTCACACCGGTGCTGGCCAGGGTGGCCCAGGGCTGCTGACGGAGCTAAATCCCCTGTGCCCACACCAGGCCCTGGCCCTGGCCAGCCTGAGGGGACAGACACCAGCCTGAGGGGATGGACACCTCCCAGTCCTTCTCCCTCGCTGACCAGGGCCAGGCCACAGTGGCCTCAGCACTGCCAGTGCAACGGATGGGACTGCCAGCAACTCTTTGTATTCCTGGCACAAAAAAGAAGGGATACAGCCACCTTTACAACAAAACTAACTCACATTTCTGACTCAAAGCAACTTAATTTCTATCACTCGCTGTCACACCCAAATGAATATTACAAATGAACAATATTATTCTCTGTTTTAGTGAGTTTCATTTCTCACTTGGTACAACCTTGTACTTTGTTCCCTTCTGGTGTCCCATGTATAGCTGGGACTGTATTCAGCTGTTGGGGGGTGTCAGTCAGCAAGAGAAAATACCCCACTCAAAGGCAGCACTGATGGGGCTGTAACTGCAGAAGGACCCTCATCAGGATGTGGGGGCTGCAGACCCCTGGGAGGACTTCACCCCTGGATTTTATTTGTTCCACCCATCAGTCGCATGGCAGGGTGGAACCAGTTTCTCTTAATCCATGAAAGGCCAAAGGAGTTAAAGCCTCCAAAGCATGTCCCTCATTCGATAACAGCCCTCCAGCACCACCTGCCCTGCACAGGGAACAGAGGCACACAAAGCCTCTGCCCCACATGGACCCAACAGGAGTAAGAGGCAGGGAAGCCCTGCTGCCTGGGAAAGCACTTACCCACAACCTAGCCATGGGTCAGCCTGGGATGGAGACAGGAAGGGAAGTGCAGCTTTTCATTAGGAATGTTCAGGAAGCTGAAGTCAGCAGACTCCTGCAGAGCAGCAAGCTCTGAAGCTGATGAATTTCTGCGCCAGGCCCAGGTCCCACCACTGAGGGTCCTGCTGCTCTCGTCTCCCCACTTGGGAGCTCAGAGGAGGCAGTTTCAGCTCGACACCAGCAGGAAAAATGCTCCGGAGCTGGGCCAATAGATGGGACTCCCTGGCAGGGGCAGTTCCTGGAGAGCTTCATGTCATGGCACATCCCATGGAAGGGGTAAGGGGGGACTCACCTCTCCTGAGGTGAGGAAGGGCCTAGGTCACTGCACGCCTCGAGACTGCTGGGCATAAACACCAGGAGACGGGTCTGAGCACAGACATGGCTGTCCCAAGCTGCTGCCCCAGCGCGTCCCAGCCGGGTCCCACTGGCAGGGACTCACTGCCCAGCACTGCAGCCAGGCAAACTGGGAAATGGAGCACGTGCATTTGGGAAACAACCAACCCCTTAAACACCACAGCACCCAGCAGCCAGACATACACCCTGGACGCTTTTAATACTCCGTGTTCATAATTCCATGCTACTTGAATGACTTGTTTAAAACATTTCCATTCGAGTTCACATATTAATTAGCTACAAATGGGATTATGGCAAATTAATCTACCAGTAAAAGGGCTAAACAAAAGTCAAAACACACCCAAAAATCCCAAACAGAAGTCACCGAAATGGCCCTGACTAGATGCTGAATGTCCAGCTTGTGCTGCTGACAGTGATGCCCAGTGGGTTTGTCCTTGTCATCCTCTAGAGACCCTGCTGAACACCCCCTGTATTTTGGTACCCAGCAGGTTGGCTGAAACAGCCTGACCTGCCTGGACACTGCCAGCAAGAGCCGTGCCAGCAGCCCAGGAAGGAATGACAAACATTGAGCTCCTCACACCATGGACAGCCTAAACCCCTCAGCTCACCCAGGGACACTTCCAGGGATGGGGCAGCCACAGCTTCTCTGGGCAACCTGTGCCAGGGCCTTCCCACCTTCACAGGGAAGATTTTCTTCCCAAGATCACTTCTAACCCTGCCCTGTCAGTGTGAAGCCATTCCCCCTTGTCCTGGCACTCCAGATTCTTGTCCAAAGTCCCTCTCCATCTCTTTGTAGGTTCCTTCAAGTACTAGACCCTCTATCCTGACTGGATCTCTCTCTCCCCTGGTGGGACCACCACCACCTTTGCATCCCAGCTGCTGAGGGCATGTCCATCCCCCGCACTGCCAAGGGGCACAGATGGATCATCAACCCTCGCTGTCTGAGCAGGCAGCAGATTCACCAGCAGCCAGCCCAGGGTGGTGAGGCCACAGCCAGTGCATACCCCAAATTCCCACCCACAGCTCCACAAGGACAGGATTCATGGATATATTTTTTTTAAGTTATCTGTTAACTAAACATGAGAGGTGCATCCCAGGAGCTGACAGGAGCCCAGGCGGAATCGGCCCCAAGACCTCCCCAGCCTGCTGGATCAGCTGTGCTTAGAAACAGCACAAACACGCCCCACAGTATTTCAGGCAAGAAATCTGGGGTTTCCTCAGCCCTGGGGGTTCTCTATGATCTCTGGGTGTGCTCAGCTTCCTTCTACTTCTCCCCTTCCTCCTCGGCCAGTCTCCCTCAGCCGGGTCTGCTGAGCCAGCAAAACCCCTGCACACCCATGCACACTACAAAGACTAAAAAGGGAAATGGTTTTAACCAAAGTGATGAAGGAAAAGAAGAGCATTTCCATTAACCCTCAGGTTGTTAGAATCCCTCTGGTTTCCATTTTTGGGGTTTTTTTTTGCCCTGGACTGAGCAGAGATTTGTGTTTTTGTAGCTCACATTAGGTCTCACAGCCCTGTGACGTCGGCAGTTTCAGTCACACCAGCTTTTGTCTCTGCTGCTTCCAGATGGGCAAACATGGGCTATTCCAGCCATGGCCTCGATAACAAGGAAGCTCTGAATTATTCTGAACAAAAGGGCAGCAGCTAAACCTATTAACACCAACTGAAAGGAACCAGCTGGCAGGAAAACCATGTGTGACCAGTGGGGATTGTGTCTGCCTTCACTGCCCCCGTGGCTGCTTTGCTGGCCTGGGCTGGTTCTAGTGCATTTATAACAGCAGAGAATCATGGAATCACTTGGGTTGGAAAAGACCTTTAAGATCATCGAGTCCAAAGAGATGTGGGAGACAACACAGGGAAGGTGTATATGGAGGTGTAGCTACAGCTCTGTGAAGGGAAAACAATTCAAAGCAGTCAGACAGGTCAGAAACGTGTCAAGCATGTGGGACATAGTGGTTTCAGGTGACACAACCTGGCCGGGTGCTCTGGTGATCTGTCAGCACTTCTGAACAGGCAACTCCCTCAAAGTCAACACTGAAATGGACAGTTCATTGGGAAAAATTCTCATCGTGATTTGAACAATGACAAAACACCACCAAGAAAACAAGGACTACAGGAGGGCTCTGGAGTGCCCCTCTCATCCTCCAAGTGTCCCCCAAGGAAGCAAGGGGTGAGGAGATGACATGTGATGGCCCACCACGCTCCAACCACGCTTTGGGGCAAAATAATATTGGAGCACCTTCCGCCAGCAGGGACTGCTGTCCTTAAACGAGGAGGTGCCTGCGAGAGCTTGGCCGGTTCTCCCACTGGTGCCAGCCCAGCGGGGATGGATGGTGGGTCCGACCAGGCCCTCCGTGGGGGTGGCCCCGGGCGGTGTGGGGACAGGGACAGGGATAAGGGCAGACACAGGGCCAGCCCCGGGGTGGCGGCGTGGGGACAGGGACAGGGATAAGGGCAGACACAGGGCCAGCCCCGGGGTGGCGGGGGCTGCCGCCCGGGGGTCCAGGCGCGCCGGGCGATGCCCAGCGCAGGAACGGGGCCCAGGCGCCTCCCGGGGACGCGGCTGCCGAGGGGAAGAGGAGGGACCCCCGCCCGGCGCGCCCGGCCCGCTCACCGCGGATGGCGGCGATGAGCGCGTTGCCGTCCTTGATCACCTCCTTGATGAACTTGTTGGTTCGCTCCAGCTCCTGCTCGTAGCACTTGAGGCGCTCTCGGAAGTCGGGGCTGTCCAGGTAGCAGTCGCTGAACTCCAGCGGCGGGTGCCCCATGGCCGCGGGCCGGGGGCGGCTCCGCCGGGCTGGGCTACCGACGGGCACGGACACCGGGAGCGCCACCCGCACCCGCACCGGCCCCGCCGCCCCGCGCCGCCGACATCCCGCGGGCCCCGCCCCGGCCCCGCCCCGGCGCTGCTGCCGCTGCTGCCGCTGCTGCCGGGCCGGCCCGAGGGACCCCCGCCCGGGCCCCGCTTCCGGCCGCGCCGCCGCCGGGACGTGTAGTCCGGGATGTGCCGCCCGGGGCACCGGGGCCGGGCCGCACAGTGCACTCCGCTCAGTCCGGTCAGGCCGGGCCGTACAGTGCGGTTCGGTCACTCCAGCTGGTCCGGTCCGTACGATCCACTCCGGTCGCTCCGCTCAGTCCGGTCCGTACGATCCACTCCGGTCGCTCCGGTCAGTCCGGTCCGTACGATCCGCTCCGGTCTCTCCGGTCAGTCCGGTCCGTACGATCCGCTCCGCTCAGTCCGGTCCGTACGATCCGCTCCGCTCAGTCCGGTCCGTACGATCCGCTCCGCTCAGTCCGGTCCGTACGATCCGCTCCGGTCGCTGCCGCGGCCGCGCGGGCCGCCTGAGCGCGCCCCCTGCCGGAGGGGCGGGGACGGTGTCGCCCGCCGCGTTGCCAGGGACACCCCGGCGGCGGAGCGTGACGGGCGGCGCGTGGTGATGACGTTGCAGCACCGTCCACGTCGCCGGGGCAGCCAAGATGGCGGCGGCGGAGGGGAGCGGGGCTGGGGGAGCCCTGGTGAGCGGGGCCGGGGGAGCCCTGGTGAGCGGGGCCGGGGGAGCCCTGGTGAGCGGGGCCGGGGGAGCCCTGGTGAGCGGGGCTGGGGGAGCCCTTGTGAGCGGGGCTGGGGGAGCCCTGGTGAGCGGGGATGGGGGAGCCCTGGTGAGCGGGGATGGGGAGCCCTGGTGAGCGGGGCCGGGGGATGGGGGACGGGGAGGATGGGAGGGACGGGGGGCTCGGGGGAACAGGGAGCCCGGGGGTGTCCGCGGGCGCTCGGCCCTGCCGCCCTCCCCTCGCAGGGCCCGCTGTCAGCGCGGGCGGAGCGGAGTCTGGAGGCCTCGGCGGGCGGCGGCTCCGGACGGGCCCGGGCACAGGGACGGAGGCAGGAGCAGGGATGGGAGCTGTCGTCCTCCCTGCCGAGGTGTTGGCCGTAGAACCGGCCGGGCTGTGCTCTGTTTCCTCCCCCTGCGGGCACCCAGAGCTCTCCCGCCCCGCCGGGCTGCGGGGAATCGGCCCGGGGAAACCTGGTTGTGTCACAGGCTCGGTGCGTGCCCGGGCCGGGGAGTCGGTGCAGCTCCCCACGGGTTGTTCTCCACGGGACTCATTCCCCTCCAAAGGCAGGTGGTTCCCGTGGCTTCACTTAAAACACAAACTGCGCCTTCCTCCCTTCAGTTACTGCTGCCGAAGGAGGGCAGAGAGCAGCTTATGAGAGGGACTGGAGAAATGCTCCTACACATCTATAAACACATCTCTAAACACATCTCACCTCACCTGGTCAGGCCTTGAGCTGTTCACATCAGGCAGGGTTTGTTACCTGAGCGGCTGTGCCCATGCCCAGCCCATCGGAGGTGCACGTGAGCTGCTTTGTATTCCCACCTAAAGGCTGGAATCCGTTCAGTTCCCAGGTCTGGCGGATGTGTCCATATCCCAGGACATCCCGGTGGAAGGGGAGATCACTGTCCCCGTGGGATCTCACTCTCCTGATGAGGATTACTCCACGCTGGACGAGCCTGTCAGGGACACGATTGTGAGTCTGGGCCTCTGGTCAGGGTAAAACTCGGGTTTTCCAGAGTCTTTGGCAGCTGTTGTGCAAAACCTGTGACCTGTACTTCAGTGTAAGTCTGGGGATTGTTTTACAACTCGTCATGTAAAACAAAATCCTGTGGGTCAAAAAGTGTCTGAATTGTGGCCCCAGAGTTTCTCTGTGATCCTGAAATCAGTGCAAGGGCAGAGGCCTCAGAGGAAGCTTGGGGGAAACTCTCCTGACCGATGGGATTCTTTGTTTCTTTTCCTAGAGGAGAAAATATTGTTGTTGTTTTCATTCTGGTGTTATTAAAGGATATAATGTTGTGTTTGTTGAGGAACGCAGAGCAAATAGGCAATGTCTGTCACAGGGGATGCTGCAGAACTGTGTGGGTTGGGCCTTTTGCTGATTTACCATAGCTGCTCCTTTCCTTCTGTCTCTCTGCTTTACCAGGAACTGTGACTTTTGTGCAGGGGGCAACTGGGGTGTTGTGTGTGTGTTTCAGATGAGGGACCTGAAGGCCGTTGGGAAGAAGTTTGTCCACGTGATGTACCCGCGGAAGAGCAGCGCGCTCCTCAGGGACTGTACGTGCGGGGGGACGGGGCAGGGCACAGGGATCCCGCTCTGACCAGGGCTCTGGGCCAGGGGGCAGAACTTGGGCTTCGGCAGCTGGTGGGTTTTGAATGAATTTTATTGCAGAGTATGGTGTAAGGTGCTGAATAAGGAAATTGTAGGGCGGTGGGATGTGCAAAATGGCACCTTGGGAGTTGGGAAAAAGGCTTTGTCACTCCCAGGAGAATGGAACTGAGATGTTTCTGAGACGTTTGTGATGTGTTTTCCCTCTCCCTGCAGGGGATCTGTGGGGCCCACTGGTGCTGTGTGTCTCTCTGGCTCTGTGAGTATTGCTGGAGGATTTGGGGTTTTGTGCATTTGGGAAATTAAATGTTCAAAATGGATTAATGTGTTGAGATCAAGCTCATCTGATCCCTCTCTGCCTTGTACAAGCACTGCCTCACTGGTTTCTCTTATAAAATGTGTTTGTGATACTTCAAGCCCATTAGCACCTCCCATCCTTAAATTTAGGGTTTAAGGGTGAGCACTTCCTGGTCCCTGTCCTAGGAGTGGTTCTGCTGAAGGTGTCCCAGGCACTTTGCCCCCAGCTGCAGCCAGGAGCTTGGTGGAGGAGCCACAGGGCTACGCATCCTGAGAGTGGTGGGGGAAGGGAGGCTAGTCCAGGGATCAGGGATAGGAGGAGATGGTGGTTCCCACGAGTTTGGGGTGTCGGATCTGCCTGATGGGAGGGAAATGTTGGTGAGGTGTGTAAGTAACTGAGGCACACCTTTGTGCTCAGAGTACAGAAACCAGTTAGTAAAATGGTGGGAATCCTCTTCTGCCACCTTCCCCAGTCTAGGAAAATTCAGTCAGTGCTGAGGGCTCCATCTGTCTGTGCTCCACAGCAGGATTTCTGTCTGTCCCCACACCAGCTGTGTCTCTCTGCTTCCCCCCAGGATGCTGCAGGGTGGCTCTGCGGACAGCAAGGATGATGGGGGGCCCCAGTTTGCTGAGGTCTTTGTGATCATCTGGTTTGGTGCCGTGGTCATCACCCTCAACTCGAAGCTCCTCGGAGGGACCATGTGAGTGAGTTTGTTGGTGGCAGTTCACACCCTCCTGTGTGTGGGGTTCTGCACTGCCTGCTTTGACTGCTGTTCTCCCGTTCCCGTGTCCCTGTGCAGCTCCTTCTTCCAGAGCCTGTGTGTGCTGGGGTACTGTGTGCTGCCGCTCACCGTGGCCATGCTGGTGTGCAGGCTGGTGCTGCTGGCGGGCGCCGGCACCATCAGCTTCATCATCCGCCTCATCGTGGTCGTGGCCATGTTCGGGTGGTCCACGCTGGGTGAGTACCCTGCGTGTGCCCTGGGTGCTGTGCTCAGGGGGTTGCTCTGTGTTCAGTCCCTTGGGCAGAGCCAGTGGGTGATGTAGTCTGAGCTGCTTCCTGGGCAGCTGTACTACTGTAGGAAGAATCCCAGGATCACTGAGGTTGGAAAAGCCCTCCCAGCCCATCAAGTCCAGTCTGTGCCCATCCCCAGCCCAGAGCACTGAGTGCCACGGCAGGCCTGCCTTGGGCACCTCCAGGGCTGGGCACTCCAAACCTCCCTGACCACCCTTTCCATGAGGAAATTCCTCCTGGTGTCCAACCTGCCCCTCCCCTGGCACAGCTGTCCTTTGTTCCCTCCTCCTGTCCCTGTTCCCTGGGAGCAGAGCCCGCCCCCCCTGGCTCCCCCCTCCTGCCAGGGATTGCAGAGCCAGAAGGTCCCCCCAAGCCTCCTTTTCTCCAGGCTGAGCCCCCCCAGCTCCATCACTGCTCCTCACAGGACTCGCCCTCTGGACCCTAATTCTTCCAATCCTCATGCTGGCGTAGGTTCAGCCTCTGCCCCTGGTGATTTCCTTGGTCATATGCAAAATGCCTTGGGCAGCAGGATGATAATTCAATATTAAACTCTATGTAAGACTGCTGGGTGTTTTGTTCTGTGATTATGTTACAAATACTATTAGAAAATGCTGATTTTATACAGATGCATTTGCATTATTTCTCCTGTTCTTAATCTGTAAATCTGACTCTCATTACAGAATGTTAATTGGCATTTATGGTCAGGTTGGACAGTCCTTGGAGCGACTTGGGCTAGTGGAAGGTGGTGGAACTGGAGGGGCTTTAAAGTCCGTTCCAACCCAAATGGTTTTGTGATTCCATGGTTTACCTTCCTCTGTGAGAAAGGGAGTTGTACTTGGTGATCCCACCCCGTTGTTTGAGCAGTGGGTTGCTCTGGCTCCCCTGTCAGCACAGTTGGAGTGCAGCCCCTCAGCTGTGTTCGGTGCCCGGGGGGGCGGGACTGTGCTGACGTGTGTGTCTCTGTGTGTGTCTCCGCAGCCTCCACGGCGTTCCTGGCGGACAGCCAGCCCCCCAACCGCAAGGCGCTCGTCGTCTACCCCATCTTCCTCTTCTACTTCGTCATCAGCTGGATGATCCTCACCTTCACCCCTCAGTGAGCCCCATCGCAAGGGACTGGGACACGGACTGGAGTTTTTCACGGACGCTGCAGTGAATCCTTGGCTTTATCTCTTTCTAATTTATATATAGGGATACTGTAAAAAGGCAGGCTGTGGGATAAAGCCAGAGAGCTGCAAAAAGTGCTCGTTTGTGTGTCCCTCTTTGTGAAAGATACCGAGGTCCACCTACTGAGGGGTTTATTTAGCCCTGCTCTGTACTGGTGTTAAATAAACAGTGCCCACTGGGACTGAGGACAGAGCAGGAGATCCGGGAATTCCAAGCTGCTGGGACATGAAGTTACAGGATGACACTACTTGGC